TGCACCACATGATGGACACAATGTCACCGAACTGTATGTGTAAAAACATTGACATGGATATCCATATATATACGCACACATACTCGCGCACCATAATTTTAAAACATAGTATCTAACCCATAGGGCTGGATATTAGATACTATATGGGTTACATGAGATCTACCTGGAGAGCTTCGAGCAGTGCCAGGCCCAGAGTAAGTGCTCAGCAAATAGTAACTATAATGAAATAGTAGCTGTAATGAGATAGTAGCTATCATGAAATGTTAGCTATAATGAAAAGGAAGCCCCACGCTGGCGCTGGGCTGGGGGTGGAGGAACACAGAGCCCTCCTGTGGCTTTTAGCTTCCCAAACAGGGAGACAGACGATATACAGGTAAGCACTAAGTGCACGTAACAGGAGTGCTGTGTGATAAACCAAAGGGGTTCTGTGCTGTGGGGTGATAGTGCTGACGGGGGCTGGGCCCCTCTGGGAAAGCGACACCTAAACTAACACTGGAGGGGAAGGGACCCGCCACAGTGAAGTCACGCGAAGAGTGTTTCAGGCACAGGGCGTGGCCACAACTCAAAACCCATTGCCGTGGAGTCGATTCCCACTCATAGCGACCCTGAAGGACAGAGCAGAACTGCCCCCCTGGGTTTCTGAGGCTGTAAAGCTTTACGTAAGCAGACTGCCATGTCTTTAGCCACATTGGAGCAGCTGGTGGGTTCAAATCACTGACCTTTTGGCTAGCAGCCGAGCATTTTAACCACGGTGCCAAAAAGACACTAGTGGGGTAGGGTCTGGAACATTTTAGAACCCTCCAAAGGCCAGTGTTGGCTAGGACAGAGGGACACACAGGGGAAGTGGCAGTGTTGTGATAGGAGAGGCAGGGTGAGGTCCTGGGAGGCTTGGAGACGGTGGGAAGGTGCTGGGATTTCATTCCAACTGCAGTGGGAAGCCGTTAACAGGTTTTAAGCAGAAGAGAAGCATGATCTCAAAGTAGAACCTGGGTGGCTCCGTGATGCCGGGCGTTTCACAGCCTGAGGGAAATGTGAGGTGGACTGTTGGGGCACTGAGAGGAAATCAGAGTCGGGAGCAAGGGCGCGTGCAGAGTTCCCACAGAACACACTTCTTAATGATGTGTGTGGATCACGTGCCGCTCAGTTCACGTGTGCGGTCGTTACTGTGGAGCCAGGGACTCGTGGGGTTTACAGGTAGAAAGGGCCTCAGAGGTCGCTTCAGCTAACTTCCCTCCCATCCCTTATTCACACCTCCGAGGGGAAGACTGAGGCGCGAGAAAACAGAGGCTTTTCCCAGGCTCCCGGCGCCCTAGCGCTGGAACACGAGTTCTTCCTGGGGTTTCTTTTTTCTTTTCTCCTCTCCTCCCTCTCCCTTTCTCTTGTATCCCCTCCACTCCCCTCCTCTCTCCTGACTTGTGAAATGTTTTTAAAAGATATAATGCACACAAGTGGTATTGCTGCATCTGAGCTGTAAATCAGCGTATCTTTTCCAGACTTTATGAGAACAACTCATAAAGGATCAAGTCATTCAATGCCTCGGCTGGGACGGGGCACGTTCAGGAGCCCCTGTTTCGCCCCCTTTCAAGGAGAGGAAGCATACCATGGTATTTAAGAACTCTCTAGAGCCCCAAGTATGACTGCAGTTGTATTTCTGTTTAACTTAAATGACATCTGGATAACAATGAAAAGCAGTAGGGGTTCTTTCCTAGGCAAAAATATTAACTGATCTTTGTCTTACTGTATTGAGTCACATTTTAAAGGCTTATAATTAATCGTACTGCCGTTAAACCACCCAGTTACTCCGGCACCAAGTTTGCTGACAGTCGTCTACCAAAAGTTAATCTTTAATCCCCTGCCTTCCTGATGGATTTTCCATATCTTTCAAACATCAAGCAAGTTTCTCCTTTCTTTGACATCCATCTAAACTAGCCTTTGGTTCGGTCCGGTCAGATGCCTTTAAATTATATCTCTTTGCTCTACAAATGTCTCCATGTGTTACTCCCCTTAATATGAAGTAATAAGGTTTCAACATTGTTAAGGACTGAGTCACTAAATTATTAATAAAATATGAGATAAATAAAATTATTAATAAAATGTAGTTGTTAAATTATAGTAAGACCTTGAGATTTGGGTCCTTTTTTAAATGATTATTAAGTTGAGGAGTGGTTTTCTGAATGTCTGACCCTTCTTTTTCACCTTTCACTATGACCTTGAAACGGACCATGCCTTCTCCTCCATCAGGGACAACGGCCACTCCCAGCCCATGTCTGCCCCCCCCCCCGCCCCAGGTCTGGGCGTCCTTCCCTGCTTCTCTGCAGCTTTGCCTCACTGTCCCCTCTCTGCCTGTCCCCCCACTGTCCCCTCTCTGTCTCGGTACCCTCGCTCAGTTCCCTTCCATCCAGAGTAGCCACCCGATCCCTCTGCTTCCCTGCATAGCTACTCTTCTGGACACATGTGTTTACCTCCCTGCCCCTCGCCTCTTCCTTCCACCCCACAGTGGCTGTCGGTCCAGGTCACGGTGCCTCCTGGGCCTTCCTGGAGCTCTCTGCCGCGTCAGAGCAGACCCAGCTGCCGCCTCCTCTTCCCAGCTCCCCTCCTGGGTGCCTGTCAGCTCCCTCCACCTGCCCTGCCCACTCTCCCTTCACAACTCCCCCCGCCCCGGCCATCGTGTCAGGGCTGCTGTCCCCTGGAAATCAGCCTGCTCAGGGGACCTGAGAAAGCTCGGAGCAGGGACACCTACAAGATGGGGAATGAACTGTGGTTTGAGAGCCCAGCCAACGGGAAGTGGACCTTCTCGGGCCTGATTTGTAGCTTCCAGAGCAGCATGGAAAGTGTGGGGACGAGAGAACACACGTACCTTTGTCAGCGAGTGTGAGCAATTGTCAAGGTTTTATATTTCTGGCACACTGCTCAAGCCCTCGCCGTTAGATAGAGTGCAGCTCAGACCTGTAAGAATCTGACTGATTTAAACCAGGCGTATCCTAAATACCTCAAAATACATATAAAACAGAGGGGTTCCTTCAGCTTGGGACTTGGCTGGGAGAGGTCTGAAGAGACCTAACTGTGAGGAAAGTGTTCCTGACACTGTTCCGTTTGCAGTGTTCTCACTTCCCCTTCCATGCCATATTTCTCAGGACTCTGCTGCACTCCCAGCTCCAACCAGCTGAAGCAAAAGACAGGCATTCCTCGAGGGGGTTTTCTAGACTGTGGAGACTTCTTTTGCCGTGGTCCTTTCAACCAGCGTCTCCTGAAGCTCTGTGATCGCATCCTTAAGGCCTTGAGATCCAAGGGGAAAGCCCCATTCCGCAGAAGTCCCAGCTTCAAACACACTGTGGAGAAGATTTGAGATTGGCTTTGCTGGGGCCACATGTTTATCCGCGGACCCGAGTGGAGTAACTTCACTGAACCAAATGGTGTGAAGCGCGTTCTCCATATTGGTCCCTCAGTTGTAACAAATGCACCATGGGGGTGCAAGCTGTTAATAAAAGGTAAAACGGTGTGCAGGGGGGGTATGTGGGAACTCTGAATTGCTGTGCAATCTTTCTATGAACTTAAAACGGCTTTAAAAAAGTGTATTTAAAAAAAAAAGTACATATCTTTGGAATGATGAATGGTTGTCTTTAATTTTTCAAGAAATAACATGTACTGTCTAAGCTGAATATTTCTGTTTCCCAGTAACTCACTGTGAGTCAGAATTGACTCACTGGCACCCAGCAACAGCAACGGCAACAGCATTCTTTAAATTCTCGGATGATTTGATGTCTGGTCGCTGGCGGGGAGGGCAGACAGTGCCGTCTCTGCGCACTGCACCCCCGGTGAAGTTCAGGACTTAAAACAGCTCTTGACTCCTTGCCGCCCTGACAGATAGTATCCAGGCTCCGGTTGGAACCCTTAGCTGTCTTCTACCCACTGGTCCCTCGGGTTCCAGACCCTTCAAGTCTGGCCTTGAAGCCACTGGCTGGAATGCCTTTTTCCTCCCACCCTCTCCTCTTCCTGGCCAATCTGACTCCATCATGTAGGGCCCAGCCAGTTGTCAGCTCTCTCTGTAAAGCTTTTCATTCTATGATGCCCGCCCACTGTGCGCCCATCCACCTAGTAGGACTCTGTTACTACCGTGTACCAGCCCTCCCTGCACTGGGTTAGATTTCACCTGTCACCCCACCAGGCTGCAGTTCCCTCAAGACCAGGGGGTGCTGTGTGCATCCTTGTATCCCAGCAGCTAGTCCAGCTTGTAGCACATAGTAGGTACACAGGAAAGACTTCTTGTGGTTATGTTGAGCAGGATCAAATAATGCAAGTCACATAAGACATTGCAAAATAACTTAAAACCTAAATAAACCCGTGCTTTGCTGATATCAATGACGATCTAGTAGGTTGCATAGGGTTTTAGTTAGGATAAATGGGAGGTTTTCTCCTCTTTCAGTTTACCTTCGAAGTTGGATATTTCAGTGTGTCTCAAATCGTTATTCACTTGTGCAGTGCCGCTTTTGACATCATTATTGTTCTGATCTCTTCTTGGATGTTTTAATATTGACAGCTGCTTCTTCCACCTGCAGGAGAACCAGCAGGGCAATACTGTGGATCCTAAATTATTTTCCCACCAGGTGGCTTAGCCATCGATTCTAGTCTGCAGAGACTGGTGATTTCCAGGCATGCGATTTTCCCCAGCTCAGAAACGTGCCCGTACTATTTGTGTGTGTGTGTGTGTGTGTGTGTGTGTGTGTTGGAAGGATGAGGTGGGAGACAATGAGGGGAGGGCCGCACAAGTACTGTGTGGGGTATTGTTCAACCCACACACATCTGGATCTTGCCCGCCTGGGCTTCTCCTGATTCTCCCTGGCTAACCTGAACAGGTTGAAGGCCCTTCGGGGGCCTCGTGTTGTTTGTAAATAAGGAGAGGGTCAGACTAGGTCCGTTGCTGCCCTGGCCTTGAACATTCACAAGCAACGTGTCCGTGTGATACTCACGTATCGTTTTGTGTTGTTTCTATGTTTTCGCAGAGGTCTCATTGCCAGCGGCTTCACGGAAACCCATTATCTGCAGGATGGCACCGATGTCTCCCTCACTCGAAATTACACGGTAATTCCTGCATGCGTCGAGCGCTGTAACACTGCACGATAGAGCCTTTGCTTACACCTTGTAATCGTCTTATCCGGAGCAAAGCCACAGGCCCAGATTCTTGCCTTTGGCCCCAGGAAGAGCTTGTGAGTCATTTAGTGTTTAGGCGTGACATCGTAACTCCAGAAAATCTTGGCCTTCGCCAGTTATGTGCTGGCACGGTCTTGGAGGCACGGCTTTGTTGCAGGGCTGACCTTGACTCTTCCTTCCAAGTACTCTGGGATGCTCAGTTGGGCAGATCCTTTCTCTTTAGAAAGATGAGCAAGGCAAACGTAGCAGTGGATTGGAAAACAGTCATATCTGGGCTGAACTTTGCTAAGTGAAACTTAAATCCAAAGAAGAACTGACTCTTCCCAACCTGTCTGTCATAAATGGGTCCACAATGTCCATGTGATTCCGTATCGTGGACATTGCTGTGATAGGACACGTATTGCTGTTTAATCAGCCTTTCTTGGGTTTAAAGTTTTATATGTAATTTGGACAAAATTCTAGTTCTATTTGTTCATTTAACAAGCCTGTACTGCAGCCCCTCTGTGCCGGGCCTCACGTATGAGAATGGGGGTTCAAGGAGAATAAGGCAGAATCTCTGTCCCCCCGAGGACTGGGAAGGTTATTTGTTTTAAAGAGCTGTGGGTATTGGTTTAAAAGAATACATTTAGAGGAAGGTTTGAGATTTACAATTGGCACGTTATCAAATAGTGATTGTTGTCCACAGTGCTTCCTGCCTTCACTGCATTACGCCAGTGCTTGTTTTCTTTATCGCATGGTGGACATTGGGCACTTACAAACTGAGGCCTCTGGGCTTCCGGCAACACAGTGGAATGAGCTGGTTCAGTTCTCCCAGTCTGAAGAAGGTAGAAATCTTAGATAAAATTTAAGAATAATAAAAGAATTTAAGAATCTTTGTTAATGCCTGATCAAGCTTGAAAGAGAGTCAGACAAGTCTCCAAGAGGCAAAAAGAAAGAGGAAATGGTAAGCCAGAGCAGTAGGCTTGTGAGCTGGGGACATGGGACCCTAAAAGCTGATTCAATGCCCAGAGAAGGGGCCTGGTGAGCCTGGGGCTGGAACAAGACAAACGGGCATCTACAACTGAGAATCTCACAGAGCCCGGCCACCAGGAGAGCCACTTCCTTTGTGAAAAGGAGACAAGAAAAACTCCTCCAACAGGCCCAGAGAAGGAGCAAGAGTGAGAGCTGTATGCCAGATGTCCTGGATTGAAAAAAGGTTTCATGAAACAGAGAAATGGAAACGCCAGCTTGCCTTGTGTGTGTATGCTGGGGATGAGGGTAAGCCAGCATCCAGATTTTTAATGGCAGCCTAGGAATGGAATTTCCAGTTAAGATATAGACCTCAAAATGAGTACCAGATCAGTGCAATCCCCATGCCCCAGGCTGAAGCTAACCCCAGATTTAGGGATATTTCTATAACCTGGATTACATGAGTTGCCTCTATCAAAAAAATAAAAATAATAAAAAATATTGCTGATGAGTCCAAAATAAAAATTACCACACAGTGGAAAACACCACTGTAAGGGAGTGTGGGTAGACAAGAGAAGTTAGAGAATTAACATCCCCAGGAACACAGGGTAATAGGAAAATGTGGGAAAATTTTTAATGTTTTCAAGAGAACAATTAAGACTGTCCAATACAGATTTAATAAGAATTCCAGAATGAAAAAAATAGAAAAAAATAAAGAAGGGGCAATGTTTAAACAGTGTGATGAGAATTCCCCTGAATTTAAGGAAGACATGAGTCTTAAAGGAAGTCCACCAGGTCCCAGGCAGGAGGAGTAAAAATGAACCCACTCCAGGACAGCTTAGGGTGAAACTGCAAAACAGCAGAGATAAAATCTTAAAGCCCACTGAAAGAGAAGAGAGCTTTCTACAAAATAACGACAATTATACTGACAACAGACTTCTCATTAGCAACTATGGAATAAAAACTTCGGAGAGCGGAGGGAAAATTGTCAGCCTCAGCTGCATGCTCAGATTATTTTACAAGAAGCAGATATTTTCATACAAAAACAAGAAAATTTCCTACCCAGAGATTCTACCAAAGAATATCTTAGTAAGAAGAAACTTGAACACAAGAGAGAAGGGTAGGGTTTAAGAGGCAGTGGTAAGCAAAATAATTGCATGGACATAAATCTAAATTAGTTATTTCAAGTAGTAATTACAGCAACAATGATTAAATTAGGGTGGCTGAAAGTAGGATGAGTGAATAGATTTAATAATTTTAAGGAAATTCTGTTATACTAGAGAATAATATAGATGTTGAGTAATTTAGGATTTTTATAAGTAATGAATGTGTCTTACAAATTGAAGTATAACCATTGTAAGAGTAGAAAGACAGGATGTTTTATTCCAGATAAGTAGAGGGTGAATAAAAACAACATACCAACTCATTAGAGGCAGGAAAGAAGGAAAAGAATCAAACAAGCCGCAGAATAAATTAAAAACACAAAATAAAACGATAAGAATGAGTCCGCTTGTATCTGTAGTCGTGTTCATTCTATGTAAATAGATTTAATCTGCTTGTTAAAATGAAAACAGATTTTCTGCTTAGAATTTAGGATAAAATCCAACTATATAATTTTTTAAAAGGCTCACGCACAGTACAGAACAGTTATGAATGTAAAGGAATGCAAATCGATAGAGCAGCCATCCCCACTACCATCTTCCTGATTATGCCGCCACTATAATCAGTGTCACTGAATTTCGAGTGTAAAGACCGTTGGATTGAGAAAGCTGAAGGCTCCAAATTCAGGTATCTTAGAAGCCTGGAAGGGAGCGTGCCAGGACGGGAACAGAAGTTGTTGGCACGTGGCCGAGGCTTTGTGTTTTGCAATGTTCTGTGATTGGTGTGTGTAAGGGGGGTTGGGGGATGCATTTTTCTTTCTCCTCATTTCTCCAAGCATTTACTCTTCTTCTACCCCTTCACT